TTAAATGATTTTCCTTTAAAATTTTTTTTTGTTTTTTTTTTGTTTGTTTGTTTTTTAAGGCAGGAGATGACTCAGTAGTAAACTGCACAAACATGAAGACCTGAGTTTGGATCCTCAACACACGTGTGAGAGCTAAATGCAGTGCTAGTGCACGACTGTAACCCTGCACTGGGATTTGGATATGCACATCCCTGGGGCTTAATGACCAGCCAGTCTAGCTCAAACGGGGAGCTCCAGATTCAGTGAAAGACCTTTGTGTGTGTGTGTGTGTGTTAGAAGAAAGATGTCTGATGTGGACCTTTAGCCTCCACATGTACAGACGTGTACCAGGTACATATGTGTATACACCACACACACACAATATTATTCAATGCAAATCCCATCTCTATTATATGAGCTTTCAAGGATAAAGATAGAATTTTTCCTCTGCTGATGCACCAAGGGTAAGATTTCTTTTTTTTCAACAGTGTTCACTTAATAAATGTTAAGTGAATGGCAATTCCACTTTGCAATGTGCAGGCAAAGCTAAGTCAGTCTCTGTTTCTCTCTCTCCTCTCCCCTCCTCTCCTCTCCTCTCTCTCCTCTCTCTCCTCTCTTCACTATGCAGCCCTGACTGGCCTGAAACTCAGAGAAAGAGATCTGCCCATCTCTGCCTCCCAAACACTGGGATTAAAGGTGTATGCCACCACACCCAACTATTTTTATTATTTTTAATTTTGTGTATATGTGTGTCTGTGTGTGTGTACATGTGGGTGCAGGTTCCCATGGAGTTCAGAAGAGGGCATCGGATCCCCAGAGCTAGAGTACAGGTGCTTGTGAGCCCCCTATGCTGTGTACTGGAAATGGAACTCAGGTCCTCTTCAAGAACAGTATCTGCTATTAACTGCTGAGCTCTCTCTCTCTCTCCAGCCACCAGTACACCATTTTATATGAGGAACTTTAGCACCCATGCATTTTGGTCCATGAAAGGGGGGGTCTTAGAACTAATCCCCCGAAAACAACTAGGCCTTGCTGTAGTGGTTTGTTGGTACTTATAGAACAAGAGCGAATGTAACTTAGAGGTAGAGTGGCAACTTCTGAACAGGGTGATATGGAGTCAGGGAGCCTTGAGGATTTCGGGGGAAGAGTCAGCACAAAGGCCCTGAGATGGGTGTACACCTGGGCGCCTAGGAGGAAATCACCCTGTTGCCTTCAGTCAGGCTCTGCCTTCTGGTCCAAGTCAGATTAAGATGAGGGTTTGAAGCCAAGGAGTGACAGAACATATAGTCCTGAGCCCCCTGCCTCCCTTAGCAACCAAAGTGTCATCTCAATCAGCTCCATATAACCACCATCTTCACACCGCAGGTCACATGGAGACGCCAGGATGCAGGGCCCCAACCTCGGCTGGTCCCCACAGACTCCAGGGGGGGTCACCCTGGGTAGATAACCTGGCTTCCCCCAAGTAGACCACATGGAATCTTCCCCATAGGCTGCTTAAGCCCTCTGGCTCCCGGAGTTAATCTTGCCGTGCTCCTTCCCCTGAGCTCCTTAGTAAGGCAAAGGGGAAGGGTAGAGGGGTTGCTGCACCTGCTCCCAGACAGCCAGGCTTTGGAGGGTTCTCAGCCCCTGGTCTTCTGCCTGTGTCTCTTCGGGTTCCTTCTGGTTTGCTCTCCATCCCTACCCATGTTTGTGGACACTTTCCTCTCCATCCTTGTTGGCTCCCAGCTGCACCTTTCAGAAACCCAGGCACATCTGTGTATTGGGTGAACATCGCTTTTTGTGGTCTCCTTTCCCTTCCCAGACTGGACCCCTGGACTGTGGGAATAGCGAGGTGTGGAAGGGGCAGGTCCTGAGGGTATAGAAAGCTGGGACCTAAGGGGACTCCCTCCCCAGCCAGCTCTTTCCTGCCTCACCAGCTCAAATCTCACTTCTAAGTAGCCTGATTGCCCTCGAAAGATGCCCAGAAGCCCAGTGCTGGCCACAGGACTTTTCTACAGACCTTCTTCCTTTTACTCTGCCTCCCAGCTGTGACGGATGGGGATCTTGGTATGAATTACTCTGCCTCCTGGGGCAAACACCCCCATCGCCAGTCTGCCCTTTGGGAGACCTTTTTTGAGACATTGTCTTTCTGTGTAAGGCAGACCAGCCTAGAACTTGTAGTGATCCTCCTGCCTCAGTCTACTGAGTGCTGAGATTACTGGTGTAAGCCAGCACACCTGGCTGGCTGGCTGGCTGGCTGGTTTTTTGGTTAACAAAATTTTTAAGCATTTATTTGGGGGGGGGGTTGGTGTTGCCAAATGTGGTGGTCAAGAGGTTCCAGAGATAGAACACAGGCCATCGGGCCTGGCGGCAAGTGTCCTTCCCAGCTGAGCCGTCTAGGAGGCTCAAGTCTGTTGTTTTTGAATGAAATGATTTAAGAGGGAAAATCTCCCTGTAAAGGAAAGCCAGATCTTAGAATGGATGGAATGGGGGATGGACTGGGGAGGTCAGCGGGGTGCCTAAGGCCAGCCCTGCATCCTTCCATCTTCCATCAGCTCCCTGTGTCCTCCCAGGGGTTCCCAAGATCAGCTTGCCTCCTCTCCTCTCACCCTCAGCTCAAGATCTCCTTTAGTGAGACAGCCCTGGAGACCACATACCAATACCCCTCCGAGAGCTCGGTATTGGAGGAACTGGGCCCAGAGCCCGAGACCCCCAGCGTCCCCAGCCCCTCAGCGACTCAGCCTGAGGACGAGGAGGACGAAGAGGAAGAGCTGTCCTTGCAGCCTGGTCTTCGGGGCGGGCTGCGCACCAAGACCCTGATTGTGGGTAAGTGGCTGCATGACCGGCCGAGGGTGCCCCCTGGTGTCGGAAGGGTAGGAAAGGGTTGCAAGGTGACACTTGGAAAGGGACTTGGCCCAGCTGGCTGTCAGCAGATGGAGAGGCCAAATGCACGTGGAGTCCAGATTTCAAAACCAGATCTCATTCTGAGAGCTCCAATCTGGTTAAAAATACTCGAGTTGGGTCAGACTGCCTTGAGTTGAAATTCCAGCTTGTCTTATGATGGGACCTCAGAATCTGACCTCTGGCCTCGGTTTATCATGGGGACAGGTAGGGCTCCAATCCAGGGTCTTGAACATGCTAGGCAAGTTGGCTCATGCCTGTAATCCCACCATTCCGAGGCTGAGGCAGAGGGCTGGGCATGAATACAAAGCCAGCCTTGTCTACATAGTTCCAGGACACTTGGGCTACAGATTGAGCTCCTGTCTCAAAGACACAAAGAAAAAGGTTATGTGCCTGGCTGCTCAGGGCCCTGGGTTTAATCCCTAGCACCACACACCACATTATTATTATTCACATTTATTTATTTACCTGTGTATAGGTGGCTGGGGAGCAAATGCTTGTTGTGTGGGGCAGTCAGAGGACAGCTTGCAGGAGCTGGTTCTTTCCTTTCACCTTGTGGGAACTCAGGTCATCAGGCTTGGCAGCAAGTGCCTTTACCCACTCAGCCATCTTGCTAGCCCAGCACCACAAAAGTTTAATAATAATAATATCATCATCTCTCCTGGTACGGAAGCATGTAGCACCATAGTTAAGTATTAAATTACTTCCCTTCCTCTGGGTTTATTGTGGGATTAGACAAGAAACACAGAATTCAAGCAGTTGATGACATCTGTCATGACTAGTGGCAGCAAGCACTGAACACCTCACAGGACTTCCCTTAGCCAGCCACCCTTCAGTTCTGGGATTCCTGGGGAGGCAGAGGCTCTCTCCTATTCTCTGTCCTGACTGGGTCCTCTCCTGCAGATGAGTCCTGCCGGCGGTGACCATCTTCCAATCTGGGCACAATCTGGGCACAAATCTCCCTCGTTCCCATAACTGAAGATCCTGGAGCTTGGACGATTCAGAGCCGATAGACCCTGAAAATGAGCCTGGCCGGAAAGGGCATCTTCCTGCTCGCTTTCTCCATCCTGTTTATGGGGCAGAGCCCATATGCCTAAATTCCCCCAAACCCAAGGTCCCTGCTGTGGGTGCAGTCACATGGGCTGGAGCATCCTGGGATTGAGATGGAGCACCCCCAGCCCCATGACGGGTACACTGTCCCACAGCCCTCCTTGACTCCCCACCACTCCCTGGGGACGAACAGGATGCAGGCCCCTTTCCCTAGGTCACTGCCCCTTTGTTTACAGCTGCCTCTCTTGACCACAGCCTGGTTTACATGCCCATCAGCTCCCTGCCCCACTTGCCAAAGTCCCAGGTTTACAAGCCACACCTACTCTTAGAGCCGTCTCTCAGGAGCTCAGTCATCTCTTCATTTGTTTCATTGGGAGTGACCTGGGGTTGTGGCTTTCTTCTCCTTTGCTCAGTATTATTGTGCCCCAGTTTCCCCCAAGAGGGAAGGCTGGGCATCTTAATCCGGAACCCCAGAAGAGTTATTTAATTCTGTTCTTCCTAGTGGTTCACATAGAATTGAACTGCAGTGGTGGGTGCTAAGGAGGCACCCACCTCTCCTCCCCATTGCTCCTTGATCAGTTTGATTTTTTTTAACTTTCTATAATAAAATGGAGCTCTTTCCAAGTCTCTTGCTCTCCCCCCTCCTCAAACAGGATCTTACGTATCCCAGGCTAGCCTCAAACTCACTGTATATGACCTTGAATCTGTGAGACTCCTGCCTCCACATCCCCAGAGCACACACCATCAAGCCTACCACCAAACCGGTTTTATGTGGTGCTAGGGTTGAGCCAGGGTTTCATTCTTGCTAGGCAAGCCCTCCACCAGCTGAGCCACATCCCTACTCCGGGCTTCTCCTTTAGGAAGAAACAAAATGTGTGTGAGGAGAGACTGCTCAGTGGTGTGAGAAGGGGAATGATGGCAAGGAGCTGAGAATTCACTGTGTAGTCCAGGCTGGCCTGGAGTTCACTGTGTAGACCAAGCTGGCCTCAGCACTTATGGCGAACCTCCTGCCTCTGCCTCCTGAGTGCTGAGATTACAGGTATGAGCCACCATTCCTGGCTTTTTGTTTAGCTCTACAGGCTAGTAAACACATAGCTAAATAGTTAACAGACCTACTGCTCCAGGCTAGTAAGAGCTCCCCCCACCTTCTATTTTTACTAAAAATCTAAAACTACTAGACAATGGACAATTAGAACAAGCAAGCCCTCAAATGACAGTATGGGTCTGGAGGGGACAGAATGGCTGCATTAGCACCTTAGGTAAAGGTCCTAATCCTCTTTAAAGACAGGAGAGGCCCGAAGCTCTGAGACGCTGGGGGAGCCACAGTCCGCCTCACAAGCAGAAAGGGAAGCAGGCAGGAAGTGGATGACACCATCCATGTGGCTAATTGGACAGCGCGTCATCCCCTAATAGTCCACACAGTCCACATCACAAAATCTAAAGGGGGAAGCCAGGCCTGGTGGCTCAGTGTGGCTCACATCTGTCATTCTAACACTGGGAAGCCCGAGGCCTGGGTTTGCGGTCAGTTTGGGCTACCTAGTGAAGCGTAATCACAAGAAAACAAACCAGCCAACAAAATGTATATAAATCAGGGTTGCAGAAGTCAGATAGCAAAGCAAATGACAAGACTTTAAAAAATTTATTTTATTTTATTTTATGTGTATGAGTATTATTGCCCGCATGTGGGTAAGTGCATCTGTGTGGTGCAATGTGTATGGAGGTCAGAGGAGGGTGTCAGATTCCCCTGGAACTGGAGTTACAGATGGTTGTTATCTGTCATGTGGGTGCTGGGATTCAAACCTGGGTCCTCTGCAAGAGCAGCCAGTGCTCTTAACTCCTGAGCCATCTCTCCAGCCCCCAGTGAGCAACAGATTTTCATGTCATTTGTTCATTCATTCTCACACTCAGTCTGGCCTCATACTCCCAATTCTGCCTAGCCCTATGCCTCCTAAGTAACAGGAACTGCAGGTGCACACCACTATACCCAGTTGTTGGTCTTGTTTTCAATGATTGTTTTCCCAGCATGTATGTAAATGCACACATATGTGCAATGCCCACAGAGGCTAGAAGATCCCCTGGAACCAGATTTACTTAGTTGCCATGTGGGTGCTGGGAACCAAACCTACGTCCGCTGCAAGAATAGCCAGTGCTCTTTAACTGCCGAGTCAGCTCTCCAGCTCTCTGTTTTAGTTGTTTCTTTAAATTCATTGATTTTTTTTTTTTTTTTCTAAACAGGGTCTCCCTGTATCCCCAGCTGACCTGGAACTTGCTGTGGGGACCAGCCTGGCCTCAAACTCACAGAGATCTGCCTGCCTCTGCCTCCAGAGTGCTGGGATCAAAGGTGTGTGCCACCATGCTCAGCTTTCATTCATTTTTTAAATGCATAGGAGTGTTTTACCTGCATGAACGTAAGTGCACACGTATGAAGGCCAGAAGAGGGACTTAGATTCCTTGGAACTGGAGTTACAGTTGTTAACTGCCATGGGGGCTACAAAGCAAATTGGTCCTCTGCAAAAGCAGCCACTGAGCCATCTCTCCTGGCCCTCAGACACTTTAAACAAAAACTTTTGGTTTATTTTTACTAAATTTTTTTTTTTTTTCGGTCTTTTTGAGACAGGGTCTCCCTACGGCCCCAGCTGTCCTGGAACTCACTATGTCGACCAGGCTGGCCTTGAACTCACAGAAATCCACCTGCCTCTGCCTCCCAAGTGCTGGGATTAAAGGCGTGCACTACCACGCCCAACAAAATTATTATTTTATTTTCTGTGTATGAGTGTATTGCCTGCATGCATGCAAGTGCACCTGTGTCATGCAATGCCCACAAAGGCCCAAAGAGGCATCTGATCTGGAACTGGAGTTATAGATGGTTGTTAACCACCATGTGGGTGCTGGAAATTGAACCCAGGTCCTCTAAAAGAACAGCCAGTGCCCTTAGCCACTAAGCCATTTCTTCAGCTCCCCTTTCTTATTTTTTATTGCACACACACAAAATACATATTCTAGCCAGGTGTAGTGGTACAGGCCTATAGTCCCAACACTTAAGTAGGGGCTGGAAGATCAAGAGTTCAAAATTAGCTGGTTTGGTGGTGCATGCCTTTGATCCCAGCACTCCAGAGGCAGAGGCAGGCAGATCTTTGAGTTCAAGGCCAGTCTGGTCTATATGGTTAGTTCCAGGTCAGCTGGGGCTACAGGGAGACCCTGTCTTAAAAAAATAAAAAAAAATTCAAGATTAGCCAGGCCTAGTGATGCTTACCTTTAATCCTAGTACTTGAGGCAAAGGAAGAGGAGTTTTTGTGAGTTCCAGGCCAGCCTGGTCTACAAAGTGAGACACTGCCCCCCCACCCCCCCAAAATTAGGCAGACATGGTGGCTTTACACTGTAATAGTCCCAGTTTCTTGGGAGGCTGAGGCAGGAAAATCACTTGGAGTTCAAGGCCATGCTGGGCTGTACAAGGAGACCTTGTCTCACAAACAAAAATGCCCTCAAGATGGCTTAGTGGGTAGAGTACTTGTCACCAAGCCTGATGACCTGAGTTTGAACTTCATGACTGACCTAAGTGGCAGAAGGAAAGAATCAACTCCCACAAGTTGTCCTCTAACTCTGCAGCACACATACACGCACACAAATAAGTGTAATGAAAAAAAATTTAATCTTTATATATTTTTTGAGGGAGGCAGCGTCTCCCTGTAGCCCCAGCTGGTCCAGAACTCCTTATGTAGACCAGCCTGGCCTCAAATTCACAGAGATCCACCTGCCTCTGCTTCCTGAGTGCTGGGATCAAAGGAATACACCACTCCTCAACTTAAAAAAAAATTTTAAAGAATTTCATATTTAGCTGGGTGTGGTGTCGCACACCTTTGATCCCAGCACTTGGGAGGCAGAGGCAGATGGATTCTGTGAGTTTAAGGCCAGCCTGGTCTAGATAGCGAGTTCCAGGACAGCTGGTGCTACAGGGAGACACTGTCTCAAAAAAAAAAGACCAAAAACATCAAAAAAAAAAAAAGAATTTCATATTTGAGGGGCTGGAGAGATAGCTCAGCAGTTAAGAACACTGGTTGAGCCAGGCGTGGTGGCGCACACCTGTAGTCCCAGCACTTGGGGGACAGAGGCAGGCAGATCTCTGTGAGTTCAAGGCCAGCCTGGTCTACATAGTGAATTCCAGGCTAGCTGGGGTTGCAGGGAGACCCTGTCTCAAAAAAAAAAAAAAAAAAAAAACAAAAAACTGGCTGTTCTTGCAGAACACCCAGGTTCAAATCCCAGCACCCACATGGCAGCTAACAACTGTCCATAACTCCAGTCCTAGAGGATCTGACAGCCTCTTCTCTCCTCCGCGGGCATTGCATGACATGGGTGCACTTAACATTCATGCAGGCAATACACTCATACACATAAAAATAATAAATAGGCTGGGCATGGTGGCTCACACCATTGATCCCAGCACTCAGGAGGCAGAGGCAGGCAGATCTCTTGAGTTCAAGAGTTCAAGGCCAGCCTGGTCTACATAGTGAGTTCCAGGCCAGCTGGGGCTACAGGGAGACCCTGTCTCAAAAAGACCAAAAAAAATAAAAAAAACAATTTTCATATTTAGTACTGTACATCATTCCCATGCCTCCCTCTCTCTCCCCTCCAACTCCTCCACGAACCCCCATAACAAAATCCTTTTCTCTGTTTTTGGTCTTTTTGAGACAGGGTTTCCTGAAGAACAGCAAGTGCCTTTGACCCCTGAGCTGCCTCTCTAGCCCCCAAAATCCTTTAAGAAAGGAACTCTCCAACCACATTTATATATCTTATTATTATGTGTCTGTCTCCCCAAGCCCACCTGTTCTCTGCTGTATCCTTAGCAGGAAACTATCTAGCACCTATTAGGCACTCAAAGCCTTGTTTTTGCCTGGAATGGTGGCACATGCCTTTAATCCCAGCTCTCAGAAGGCTGAGGCAGGTGGATCTCTGTGAGGTGGAGGCCAGCCTAGTCTACATGGCAAGTTCCAGGATAGTGAGGACTTCACGGTGAGACCTTGTCTCAAAAAAACAACAAAAATATTCAGGGGCTGGAGAGATGGCTCAGAGGTTAAGAACACTGACTCCTCTGGCAAAGGACCAGAGTTCGGTTCCCAGCATCTACATACATGGCAGTTAACCATCCATTATTCCAGTTCCAGGGAATCCGGCGCCCTCTTGTGACCTCCGCGGGTCACGTCACGGGTACACTTGCATGCAAGCAATACATTCAAACATATAAAAAATAAATAAAAATATATTTTAAAAAACACATTAAAAAACAACTCAATATCATATCATTGCTTTCACTGAATGAGAGCGAAGTACCCGCGGACTGACCATCAAGGGACAACAGCGAGTTTGAACAGCGAAGGGCACTGAAGCCCTTCTGCGGAGAACTTCCGGAAAGCCTGCGAGATTTGAACCCTGTTGGCCACCGTCGGCGGCGGAAGAGCACCGCTCCATCCGGGTTCCGCAATCCTGGACGTCGTTAGGGGGTTGCACGGCGCCGCGCTCCCCGGGCCTCAGGCAGCTCGGTGCGGGGCCTCGGCTCGGCCGGCGCTTTCCCGGGCCCGTGGCCGCTGCGCCACCGGCAGCCGGGCCGATCGCCATGGCGACGCCGGCGGCGCTGGAGCGCTGGGTGCAGGAGGAGCTGCACTCGGTGCTGGGACTGAGCGAGCGGCACGTCGCGCAGTTCCTGATCGGCACCGCACAGCGCTGCGCCTCCGCCGAGGAATTTGTGCAGCGCCTGCGCGACACCGACACGCTGGACCTCGGCGGGCCGGCGCGGGACTTCGCGCTGAGGCTGTGGAGCAAGGTAGGGGCGAGGGGACGCAGAGGTGCTCGTCCCGAACTAAGGCGGCCTGCCTCGCAGTCTAGCTGTGTACAGCCGGGAACTCGCTGTGTAGCCCAGGCTGGCCTCGAACTTGCGACCGTCCTCATGCAGGGATTACAGAGTGAACTGTCATTCCTGTCTCCCTTTTGCTAAAGCCACTTAGGTACTGTGCGAGGTGCTGAGCATCCAGCTCAGCGCAGACTGAGGAAATCAAGGGTTGGTGTAAGTGCTCTAGAGCAGTGTTTACTAAACGTTAACCGTACAGTTTATCCAGGGCCCTTGTTAAGAAGCATACCTCAGGGCTGAGGATGTAGCTCTGTTGGTAGAGTGCTTACCTCGAATGCAGGAAGACCTGGGTTGCATCCCCGGTACTGGGAAAAAGTCACTGAGACGTAAGAGCTTTAAGAAATGGGCTGGAGGGCTGGCTCACTGGTTAAGAGCACTTGCTGCTCTGGCAGAGGACCCAGGTTCGATTCTCAGCACCCACATTAGGCAGCTCACAAAGTTCCAGGGGGTCCAACGCCCTGTTCTGACTTCATGGGCATCATGCATGCATGGTACACATACATACATGCAAGCAAACACTTATAGGCATCTATGTATCTATCTATCATCATCTGTTAGTCTTTAAAGAAAGAAAAGAAAGAACTGGGCTGGAGAGACTGCTCAGCATTAAAAGCCCTTTTACTCTTCCATTTCCCAGCACCCACATCTGTTGGCTCACAACTTCTGTAACTCGAGCTCCAAGGGGATCTGATGCCCTCTTCTGACCTTTTAAGGCACGCATGCCACACACATACACATAAATAAATGACAGAATAAGTCTAAAGAAAGAAATGGGGGCGGGGGCTGAAGCGATGACCCAGCTTAAGAGCACTGGCTGCTCTTCCACAGGACCCAGGTTCAATTCCCAGCACCCACATGGTAGCTAACAACCAGTTCTAGAGGATCTGACACCCTCTTCTGACTTCCACAGACATTGCACAGCACAGGTGTACTTAACATACATGCAGGCAATACACTCATATGCATAAAAAATAAAAATAACAGATAAAACATTTTAATAAGTGAATTGAAGAATGTAAATGATTTGCAGGCAGAGCTGTTTTTTAAAGTTTTTATTACATTTTATCTGTTGTGTGTGGATGTCAGGACAACTTGTGGGAGTTGGTTCTCTCCCTCCACCATGTGGGTCCTGGGGATCAAACTCAGGTTGTCAGTCAGAGTCAGGGGCAAGCCCTTTGCTGGCACACATTTATGTCTTGTTTATGTCTGTATCCATAGTACCTGGCAAAGGCAGGTTTCAATAGACATATGCTAAATAGATTGCGTAAAGGAAGCTGGGAAGCTGAGGGGTCCTGCGGAGGCCGAGAACAGGGAGCAAAGCCATGTGGAAAAGAAAGATGTGGGCTCGCTTAAGGTCCAGCAATCCCTCTGTGGCTGATGTGGGGCTGCCACCAGGAGCTGCTCATGCGCCTTGTTGGCTCCTCCACCGACAGGTACCGCGGAAGACGGTGGTGGAAAAGCCAGCTCGGGCAGCAGAGCGAGAGGCCAGAGCCCTGCTGGAGAAGAACCGCACCTACAAGTTGCTGGAAGACAGCGAGGCGAGCAGTGAGGAGGCCCTGGGCAGGGCTGGGGGCGGTCTCCAGAAGAAGCGGAAAAAACGGAGACACCTCAGGAAGAAACACCAGGAGGAGGAAGACGAAGAGGAGGAAGAGGTTTCTGAGACTGGGAAGAGGAAGCCAGGGTACGTCGGATGCGAGAGGAGGGGGTTGGAGCAGGGAGCGGTGGGACGGTAAGGTTTCGGGGTGCACCTGTTTGATGCCCTGGACTGGCTTCAGGGGTCATAAGTTGCCCACGGAGGAAAAGCCGGCCTCAGAAGATGAGTGGGAACGGACGGAGCGGGAGCGCCTTCAGGACTTGGAGGAACGGGATGCTTTCGCGGAGCGAGTTCGGCAACGGGACAAGGATCGGACCCGAAATGTGCTGGAGCGGTCAGATAAGAAGGTGGGTTGGAAAACATTGGGGTGTCTGGGAAGATTGGGGCCAGCACTGTGGTTCCTGTCTGAGGCCAGAGGGCCCCTGTGGGTTTTCTGGCCAAGGCCCCTCTCTGCCTTGTGGAGAGCCGGCAAAGGATCTTTGTGATTGTGAGGGAAAATGGCTGCCGGCAGTCTTTGGCCTCACGCCCCTCCACGTGGTTTCTTTTCCTAGGCTTATGAAGAGGCTCAAAAGCGCCTCAAGATGGCTGAGGAAGACCGGAAGGCCATGGTGAGTCCCTGGGTTCAGGAAGCAAGATCAAAAGTGGAGAAAGACGAGAGGGAGCTCAGTGAGGTGGGTGGTAGCGGCCTCCGGAGGAGGGGCCTGACTGACAGGAGCAGCAGAGGGTGGACTTGGGTTGTAGAGGAAGGAGACCCCCAGTGAGTGAAACGTGGCCTTCCCGGTCCCTGAGACTTGAGGCATAAAGCCATTAATCCATCCGTCCATCCGAGGGAAGCCGACCGCTGAGCTTAGCTCCTACACTTGTCAGTCTCAGTCCTTTTCTGTGAGACCTCGCTGCTAAATGCTGGATCTGCCCTTTTCTTTGTCCCCTTTGCCTAATTTGAATAAAATAGAGGAAGGTATTCGGATAATTCCCCTGATGTTCTGTGCCAGCAAAGGAGGTTGTTGGGAGGCAGAGTGGATCAGTTTGTCTGTCATGGTGGCCCAGCTCTCGGCCTGTTGCTGGTCAAGTTGCAGCAGGTGGGGGATGGCCGGGCTTCGGGGCCTTGTGCCTGGCACTGCGGAGTTTTCACACTCAGTGATGGGTAGAGAACAGTGTTGCCGCTCTGGTGAGATGAGATGAGGACTTCTCTTCCTGGCCCAGGTCCCTGAGCTGCGCAAGAAATCCCGCCGAGAGTACCTGGCAAAACGGGAGCGGGAGAAGCTGGAGGACCTGGAGGCCGAGCTGGCTGATGAGGAGTTCCTCTTTGGGGACGTCGAGCTGAGCCGCCATGAGCGCAGGGAGCTCAAGTACAAGCGGCGTGTTCGGGACCTGGCCCGGGAGTACCGGGCAGCCGGGGAGCAGGAAAAGCTGGAGGCCACCAACCGCTACCACATGCCCAAGGAGACCCGGGGACAGGTGAGGAAAAGCCTGTCTCAGGGGTGTGGCAGTGCAGTGACTCAGCCCTTCCTTCTCTGCCTTTTCACAGCACGGGAAGGTAATGATGGGCCACGACGGAAATGGGCCGCCAGGGGGTCACCTTTCTTAAGCCTTCAGTTGTCTCTGTAGCCAGCTCGAGCCGCGGACATTGTGGATGAGGAATCAGGCGCCCCAGGGGAGGAGCAGCGGCGCTGGGAAGAGGCCCGACTAGGGGCTGCATCCCTGAAGTTTGGGGCCCGAGACGCCGCTGCCCAAGAACCGAAGTACCAGCTGGTGCTGGAGGAGGATGAGACCATCGAGTTTGTCCGTGCAACTCAGCTCCAGGGTGACGAGGTAAGAGAGAGTCTGGGATGTGGTGAGAGGCTCTGAAGGTGGCGGGGGACTCACAGTCTCTGTCTCCTTCAGGAACCATCGTCGATCCCCTCTTTATCAGCCCAGGACCAGCAGAAAGAGTCCATCCAGGCTGTTCGCCGCAGTTTGCCGGTGTTTCCCTTCAGGGAGGAGCTCCTGGCTGCCATTGCCAATCATCAGGTCCTCATCATCGAGGGTGAGACGGGCTCCGGGAAGACCACACAGATTCCTCAGTACCTCTTTGAGGAAGTAAGTCATCAAAACCAGCTCTTGCTGACCCCAAGTATGGAGTCAGAGTCTTGTCAGAGCCCCTTTGTGTGATAGCTGGGAGAGTCCTTTCCTGTCTTTTTCACTAAATCATGAGGCTCTTGAGGATGAAGCCATGCTCTTTGTGCTGTTCTGTCCTCCCTGCTGAGCTGTCACACCTAGTGTGACCTGCAGCATACAGGTCAGCAGTGGGAGTGTGGAGAGCACAAACACCGACCTCCTGCGCTCCAGCCCTGCATGGCCTCTGTCCTACTGTTCCTCTGCAGGGGCCAGAGAACTAGGAGTGAAGAGACTTGTTCTGCTTTTTGACTCTTGCTCACTGCTTCAGTCTCTGTTCTGTCCAGCAGAGCTCTGAGCTAGGCAGGAGGCTTGCAGGGCTGGCTCAGCCTCCCCCTGGGGACCCTCGGTTGTCATCCGCTCTCCTTCCCTGGCTGTCTGCTTCTGTCCTCATGTTTCCCCACTTGCCTGGCTTGAGGTAGTGTGTTCAGCTTCGTTCTCTTTGTTCTCTCTCTTCAGGGTTATACAAAGAAGGGTATGAAGATTGCCTGCACCCAGCCCCGGAGAGTGGCGGCCATGAGTGTGGCTGCCCGAGTGGCCCGGGAAATGGGAGTGAAGCTTGGGAATGAGGTGAGTTTTATGGAGACTTAGGAGTGGGGACTCCTCACCCCTACCGCTTGAGTCTGGGTCTCAGTTCACACTGTCTTCAGGGTCCCATACCTCAGTCTGGGCATCGGTCCCAAATCCCTGTCCCTGAGCTTGCCTCAGGGAACACCAACCTATTCTTAGCTCCTAATGGCCTCTGTGATCAGGTTGGCTATAGCATCCGCTTTGAGGACTGCACATCAGAGCGAACGGTCCTTCGCTACATGACTGACGGGATGCTTCTCCGGGAGTTCCTCTCTGAGCCTGACCTTGCAAGTTACAGGTACACACAGGCCCCTGCCTCTCAAGGGAATGCCACCAGCTTCTCTTCCTGTTCTCTGGCCCTCGCTTCCCTCAGGGCTTCCTGTCTTTAACCTTTCTTCCCCAGGGGCCAGTTGGCCATTGTCTCCTCACTTAACCCACCAGCACTTTTTGGTGTTTGGAGATAGGGTCTCACTCTGTAGCTCAGGCTGGTCTTAAACTTGTGGGTCTCAGCGCTGTGGTGCAGGAGCCACTAGGCAAAGCATCGTCTAAGGCATGTTTTTGTTTGTTTTTTTTTTTTTTAATGTGTATGAGTGTACTGCCTGCATGTAGGTGAATGCTCCCGTGTCGTGCAATGCCATGGAGGTCAGAAGAGGGCTTCGGATTCCCCTGGAACAGGAGTTAAGTACGGTTCATAGCTGCCATGTGGGTTCTGGGAATCGAATCTGGGTCCTCTGTAAGAGCAGTCAGTGCTGTTAACCACTGAGCCATCTCTCCAGCCCTCTAAGGCATGTTCTTAATTTCACTCTTCCAATAAGAGTAGCTACTGAGGACAGGCATTGGAGTGCACGCCTTTAATCCCAGGGAGGCAGATGCAGATGGATCTCTGTGAAATCCTGGCCAGCCCGGACTACATAGCAAGTTCCAGGCCAACTGTGAGTACAAGGAGACCCTGTTTCAAAACGACAAAAAGAAAAAAAGTAAACCAGAGTAGCTGTAGCTGCCTTAGCAGACTCTCGAGGTATCTGACTTGCTGTAGGCCTGGCTTCCAGACGCTTCATCTTAATTGCTTTTTTTTTTTGTCTTTTTGAGATAGGGTCTCCCTGTAGCCCCAACTATGATTGGGTTGATCATAGTGACTTGGAACTCACTATGTAGACCAGGCTGGCCTTGCATTCACAGAGATACACCTCTGCCTCCCAAGTGCTGGGATTAAAGGGGTGCACCGTGCCCGGCCTTTTTTTTTTTTTTTTAACATTTAAAAGTGTGTGTGTGTGTACACTTGTATGTGTGTGGACATGAATGTGCCATAGTACATGTGTGAGCGATCTGAAGACAGCTTGTGAGTCAGTTCTCTCATTCCAGCATGTGGGTTCCAGGGATCAAATTGAGGTCCATTGGGCTTGGCAGCAGGACCCTGTACCTGCTGAGCCATCTCCCAGCCCATCTTGACTGCTTTTTTCTGCTAAGGCCAGGGTGGGCTGCAGGTCACAGGCCCTTGGCCCTTGCTCACCTTCTCTCCAGATTACATACGTGGGATGCTTGCTTCTCCTTCGATGCCTCTCCCCACATTCATTCTTGTGTCCCTCCATCCCTCCCTGTCAGCCACATGCCTGGTTGAATCCTCCATCACCCAGCCCTCCTTACCACTCACCCCTCTCCTTCCTCAGTGTGGTGATGGTGGATGAAGCTCATGAGCGGACACTGCACACGGACATTCTCTTTGGGCTGATCAAGGATGTTGCTCGATTCCGACCCGAGCTCAAGGTCCTGGTAGCTTCAGCCACGCTGGACACTGCCAGGTTTTCCACCTTCTTTGACGACGCCCCTGTCTTCCGAATCCCTGGACGCAGGTTTCCAGTTGACATCTTCTATACCAAGGTGCCCCTTGGGAGGATGGGCTTAGTGTGAAGCAGAGGAGTTGGGGCCTGTGGAGGAGGCTGTTCCAAGGAGGGAAGGGTCTGATGGAATGTCTAAAGTGGGAGTAGGGTAAAGGATATGCTGAGTGGGAGAAGAGCCTAGATAGGTAGCCCTCCTGTGACTCCATGTCTTCTTCTTCCCCAGGCCCCAGAGGCTGACTACCTGGAAGCTTGTGTTGTGTCTGTGCTGCAGATCCATGTGACCCAGCCACCCGGAGATATTCTGGTGTTCCTGACTGGGCAGGTGTGTACAGGTGGAAAGGGGGATGGAGTGTCCCAGGGGAGGATGGGGCTGATGTGTGGGCCTTGGTGACTCTGGAATCCCTGCCACCCTCCTCCACATCCAGGAGGAGATCGAGGCCGCCTGCGAGATGCTCCAGGATCGCTGTCGCCGACTGGGCTCCAAAATCCGGGAGCTCCTGGTGTTGCCCATTTATGCCAACCTGCCCTCCGACATGCAGGCTCGCATCTTCCAGCCCACACCCCCAGGGGCCCGAAAGGTCAGTGGGAAAAACCTCTACTCCTACAAAACCTCTACTCCTCCTACAAAAAAACACGATTGGGGGTAGGGCGGGCTGGAGAGATGGCTCTGGGCACTTGCTGCTCTTCCAGAGAACTTGAGTTCAGTTCTCATCATTCACATCTGGCGGCTCACAGCTGAGGAGCCACCACGCCCTCATCACCTGTTACCCTTCTCCCCTCAGGCTGGAGAGGATGATACAGTGTCAGCCACACCCAAGAGATAGGAGCCTTAGATTCAGGGGTGGGAGGAAGCCTCTGTGTGCCAAGAGGTAGGATTTGAAGTGGACCTTTGAGAAAAATGGCTGGGGAAATCCAAGAGGGAGGCTGAGGTGAGGCTGAGGTCTGAGAAGAGTCAGGAAGGAAGGAGGTGAATGGGAGGTTCAAGCTGCTGTGTCAGCCAAGGCTGAATCAGCTGAAGGCTGAGATGGAGGCTTTTGAAACATTCAGAGTTTGGAGAGGCAGGTGGCAACCAGAGGTTCCTGAGCAGAAGTGTAACCTTCATTGAACAAATACTGAGGGGGATGTGGCTCAGTGGTGCAGCACCTCCTTGGCATATGTGAGGCCCATGTTCTGCTCATAACCCAGTACATGCTAAGTGGGCTGGTTACTGTTCTAGTGATACACTGATGGGCAAAGCAGGCTTTATAGTCTGATAGGAGGAGACAGTGACACGTACACTGGGACCAGTTTGTAGCAAGTGCTGTGAAGAGATTCAAGACAGCACAGGAAACTGGCTGAGGAGGAGCAGAAAGGTGTCTTCCTGGTGGTGCAAGGGAGGCTGCTCCAGTCAGGCCAGGGGGGAGGGGAGGAGAGAGGGTCAAGGGGGCCAGGCTGCTCCAGTCAGGCCAGGGGAGAGGGGAGGAGAGAGGGTCAAGGGGGCCAGGCTGCTCCAGTCAGGCCAGGGGAGAGGGGAGGAGAGAGGGTCAAGGGGGCCAGGCTGCTCCAGTCAGGCCAGGGGAGAGGGGAGGAGAGAGGGTCAAGGGGGCCAGGCTGCTCCAGTCAGGCCAGGGGAGAGGGGAGGAGAGAGGGTCAAGGGGGCCAGGCTGCTCCAGTCAGGCCAGGGGAGAGGGGAGGAGAGAGGGTCAAGGGGGCCAGGCTGCTCCAGTCAGGCCAGGGGAGAGGGGAGGAGAGAGGGTCAAGGGAGCCAGGCTGCTCCAGTAAGGCCAGGGGAGAGGGGAGGAGAGAGGGTCAAGGGGGCCAGGCTGCTCCAGTCAGGCCAGGGGAGAGGGGAGGAGAGAGGGTCAAGGGGGCCAGGCTGCTACCTGGGAGCAGTGCTCCCCGCAGAGAGTGGTGCAGAGCATCCAGTGGAGGAGTGCCCCTGGGTGGGCAGGCAGCAGCCACAGAGAACTGACGTGAGGTCGGGGACAGCCACAGGCCAAGTGGTCCAAGTTCTAAGGGGCTTGGGTGGGAAAATCTAGATTTGATGTGACAGGTTTATATTTCAGAGCACCATTCTGAGTGCCATGTGACAGGTTTGGAGTGGAAGGGTGAGGGTACGAATTCTGTGACCAGGAGTGCTATATGAATGTGGCTGTGGACATGGATATGGATGGGGAATAGTGGGCAGGCACCTTGCACACCCTCATCTTCCATCTCTGAAGAAGACCCCAAACCCTCTTGGTCTCATTTCTTCATTATGCCCCTGCTGACCCCCACACCCCATCTCTCTCCCCTCTCCTGACCTTGGACAGTTTCCTCAGCCCCTGCCCCTCTGCACCATCACTTTCTCTGGCTGTCATGGTGGGCTGGGTCACTGGGTGACCTCTGTGCTCTCACTTAGGTGGTTGTGGCAACAAACATTGCAGAAACCTCGCTCACCATCGAAGGCATCATTTACGTGCTGGATCCAGGGTTCTGTAAGCAGAAGAGCTACAACCCCCGCACAGGCATGGAGTCGCTCACAGTCACACCCTGCAGCAAGGTCAGCCTGGAGCTCCGTGAGGTGGGGGGTAGATTGTCCCCAGGGGCTTGACTCAGAGGCAGCATTAGAGGATGAGGGGTTGTCAGCCATCTGCATCCTCCAGACCTTTTAGTAAACACTGCCCTGACCATGTCAGCTCTTCTCCTTTCCAGGCCTCAGCCAACCAGCGGGCTGGCCGTGCGGGTCGCGTGGCTGCAGGGAAATGCTTCCGCCTGTACACCGCCTGGGCCTACCAGCATGAACTGGAGGAGACTACGGTTCCCGAGATCCAGAGGACTAGCCTGGGCAATGTGGTGCTACTACTCAAGAGCTTAGGTGATGGGGCTGCCTAGGGCCTGATGGGGCCTGGGGTCTCTGCTGCCCCTTAGGTGAGGGGCTGCCTAGGGCCTGATGGGGCCTGGGGTCTCTGCTGCTCCTTAGGTGGTGGGGCTGGAGTCTCTGCTGCTCCTTAGGTGATGGGACTGCCTAGGGCCTGATGGGGCCTGGGGTCTCTGCTGCTCCTTAGGTGATGGGGCTGGAGTCTCTGCTGCTCCTTAGGTGATGGGGCTGCCTAGGGCCTGATGGGGCCTGGGGTCTCTGCTGCCCCTTAGGTGGTGGGACTGCCCAGGGCCTGATGGAATGCCTCCATCCCTTACTCTTTTCTCCAGGGATCCATGACCTTATGCACTTTGACTTTCTGGACCCTCCACCATATGAGACCCTGCTGCTGGCTTTGGAACAGCTCTATGCACTTGGAGCCCTTAACCATCTTGGAGAACTCACCACGGTGAGGTAGCAGGGCGGCATGCATGGGGCAGGATGAAGGAGGGGTCTGGTGGCCCCAGGGACCCCTTTGATGGTGGTGCCAGGGGCTCTTGGAATAGGAACCTGAGGGAGATCTCTTTCCTCTTTAGTCTGGTCGAAAGATGGCAGAGCTGCCCGTGGACCCCATGTTGTCTAAAATGATCTTGGCCTCTGAGAAGTAAGCCCTCCCTCCTTCCAGCCCCTGGCACAAACTTGCTCTGCCACCTCTGTCTTGAGAGCTGTTTCTCTTTTCTCACCATCATATATACATAGACAGACAGACAGATATATAGATATATAAAGATTTTATGTATAGAGATACATATATGTTATACATTTATATACATACTTATGTGTGTATATATATATACACACACACACATACACACACACATATATACACACACACACATATAAGAGCTCTTATATGTATATAAGACCCATGAGGATCTGGAAACCAATCTCGTGTCCTTGAGCATGATGGTTATTGGGTAGAGGTGACCAACACAGGTAAAATCTGGCACCACCAGTGGAAGTGAGCTTTTGCATTTGTGATGGGTGCCGAGAGGCCTGCTTTGGGAACTTGCTCCCCCCTAAGGATTCACACTAGGCCATTTGGATGGTACTGTGTGGGATCACCTTCAAAAGCCATGTCCCCAAGGGATAGGGCAGTCCTCTTCCCATGTAGCACGTCAGAAGCTTCCAGCACCTCCTGCCCCTGCCTCCATGAATATCACTCTGTGTAACTGTTTCTGCTCTGGCTCCTACTTCTCTGCCCCCAGGCAGCTCTCCACCACCGGAATCCATCTGCTGTCTGATTGGCAGCCACTGTCCCCACACAGGAGCAGCCTTCCCTCCCCTCCCCGTCCCTCCCCTCCCCTCCCTGTGTCTGTTCTTGTTTATTTAGTGTCTTGCTTTGATCTCCTCCTTTTCTTGCCCTGCCCAGATACAGCTGTTCAGAGGAGATCCTGACAGTGGCTGCCATGCTCTCTGTCAACAACTCCATCTTCTACCGGCCCAAGGACAAAGTCGTCCATGCTGACAATGCCCGTGTCAACTTCTTTCTCCCTGGAGGGGACCACCTGGTTCTGCTAAACGTGTATACACAGGTCACTGGGCTCGGGCAAGTGGAAATGCAGGCAACGTGGGGGCTTAGTAGTCCTGTTGCATACTTAAGGCCCCACTCCCTCTGAACCCTCTTCACAGTGGGCTGAGAGTGGCTACTCTTCCCAGTGGTGCTATGAGAACTTTGTCCAGTTCCGATCGATGCGCCGAGCCCGGGATGTGCGGGAACAACTGGAGGGGCTCCTGGAGCGTGTGGAAGTTGGTTTGAGCTCCTGCCAAGGAGACTACATCCGAGTGCGCAAGGTCACTTTTTTTATTTTTTTATGCGTATGAGTGTATTACCTGCATGTATGTAAGTGTGCCCGTGGAGGTCAGAAGAGGGTGTTGAGTCCCCTGGAACTGGAGTTAGACAGTTGTTAGTTGCCATGTGGTTGCTGGGAATCAAACCCATGTCCTCCGCAAGAGCAGCCAGTGCTCTTAACTGCTGAGCCATCTCTCCAGGCCCCCTCCCTTTTATTTTTAACGTGTGTGTGTGTGTGTGTGTGTGTGTGTGTGTGTGTGTGAGAGAGAGAGAGAGAGAGAGAGAGAGAGAGAGAGAGAGAGATAGATATTCTAAGTCAGGACAGTTTCAGGAGTCTAACATTTCTTCCCCCCACTATGCCTCGCTCTGTGTGTGTGTGTGTGTGTGTGTGAGAGAGAGAGAGAGAGAGAGAGAGAGATATTCTAAGTCAGGACAGTTTCAGGAGTCTAACATTTCTTCCCCCAACTATGCCTCGCTGGCCCAGGGCCACTGTTTCTTCAGGCTTCAGGCTGCTGCTGTCCTCCCCATAGTAGTAGCCTCTGCCCTGCGGGCGCAGCTGTCCCCAGCCAGGGCCCTCCCCTGCTGGAGCCCACCCTTCCCCAGAAGACATTTGTGGTCGGTGTTCTGCACACGCCTTACTTCCTAGGTCTCCAGAAACTTGAACCGGTGGTGAATTAGGTCCCCCACATCCCCTTACCCAGGTTGTCTTCCCTGCCTGTTCTTAGGCCATCACAGCGGGTTACTTTTACCACACGGCGCGGCTGACGCGGAGTGGCTACCGCACAGTGAAGCAGCAGCAGACAGTGTTCGTTCATCCCAACTCCTCCCTCTTTGAGCAGCAGCCACGCTGGTTGCTCTACCATGAGCTCGTCCTGACCACAAAGGAGTTCATGAGACAGGTGAGGGGCCATTGCAGGCCCAGGTAGGTGGAGACAGTATGTGTCCCACTAGGCCCAGTTGTGTTCCTGGGACTGACATACAAATGAGAAGTCCCATTGGTTTAAAGCAGGACCAGACAGAGCTCAGCAGTACACTTCTTAGTCCATTTAAAATAAATAATGCAGGGGCTGGAGAGACGGCTCAGCAGCTAAGAGCACTGACCACTCTTGCAGAGGACCTGGGTTCGATTCCCAGCACCCAATTGGTGGCAACAAACTGTCCTTAACTCCAATTCCAGGGGAATCCAATGCCCTCTTCTGACCTCCGAGGCATTGCACAACACGGGTACACACACATACATGCAGGCAATACTTTCATACACATAAAATAAAAATAAAATATAAAAATAAAAATTAAAGACAAAAAATAAAAATAAAAAATGATTCAAGCCAGGTGTGGTGATGCAGGCCTTTGATCCCAACACTCTAGAGACAGAGGCAGGCAGATCTCAGAGATTGAGGCCAGCCTGTTTTACATTCGTACCTGCATTCCAGGCCAGCTATGGCTATAGGGAGACACTGTCTCAAACAAAAATAATTTATAAATCCTTTCTAGCAATTGTCTCAGTGTCTTTCAAGATCTGAGAACTAATTCAATCAACAAGTATCTGAAGGTGGGCCTGCTAGCACAGGCCTGCAATCCGGGAACTTGGGAGCTGAGGCAGGATTGCAAGGCCTACCTAGGCAACCTAGTGACACTCTTGTCTCAAAAGTATGAGAAAGTGGGCGAGGGTTGTGACGATAGGTCAGAGGTAGTCTTGCTCAGTAAGCATGATGTCCAGGTTCAGTACCTGGTATAAATAAATGTGTACCAAGTGCTGGGGTCATAATAGCCTGTAAAGCAGATGACATCTGTCCTGAGCAGTGTCACTCCAGGGTTCCCTCAGAGTCGTGTACCAGGTTTTGGGAGCCCTTTAGTACGCAGCAGAGCTGGGGTATGTCCTTCGCCCTCAGTCACAGCAAGGAAGGGAGCCTTTTTCATTTTTGTGTATGAGTGTTTTAGGTGTATATGCATTAGTATACCTACATGTGCAGTGCCCAGGGAGGTCAGAAGGGGGACCAGATCCCCTGGAACCGTAGGTGGCTGGAAACTGAACCTGTGTCCTCTGGAAGAGCCAGTGCTCTTCACCACTGAGTCAAGCCATCTCTTCAGCCCCAGGAGAACCCTTTCTTGACCACACACTCGTGATTGTGGTTTAGAAATAAAGGAGCCATACTGAGAGTTGCACTCTCCTCTAGGTACTGGAGATTGAGAGCAGCTGGCTTTTGGAAGTGGCTCCCCATTACTATAAGGCCAAGGAACTAGAAGACCCCCATGCCAAGAAAATGCCCAAAAAAATAGGCAAGACTCGGGAAGAGCTGGGCTAGAGATGCTCAGAGGGACCTGACCACGGAGCTGCCTTTCCTTCCACGATTTATTTAATATTGATCGAATAAAATTATTTTTGGAATGAAGTGTGTGGGAGCTTTGGGATCCAGAAAAAGGACATGAAACTCCACCTCATATCCACAGTAAACTTTATTATTTACAAGTTAAATTACACAGCAGCTTTACACAGCATGAGACGGGAAGGAGGGAAAGTGGAGGGAGGTGGCTGGCTCTGGACACTCCTGGCCACCTCCCCTCCTGTACGTAGCAGTCAGTGCTGCCTCCACCGAGTTCCTGGATCAGGCCTTGGAGCACACGTGGAAGTTGGGCTCGGGTTCTGACAGTCCCAGGGCCACCAGGGCTCCCACCAGCAGCTTCTTCACAGGTGTTGTGGGTGAGTGTGAAGGCATCAGCTGCAGGGAGAAGCTAAGGTGAGAACAGACGTGCTCTTCCACCTCACCCACCCAGTCCAACACTCACCTTGTCTAGGTGATGGCGACAGATGAGGCCACTGGAATTCAAGTAGAAGGTGGAATAGGCATCATAGGTCCTGGGGAAAAAGAGGCTTCCTGAAGGCCATGACTTGGCAGTTAAAAAAGGGCCCGAGAGATGGCTCAGCAGTTATGAGCACTGGCTGCTCTTCTAGAGGACCCAGGTTTGGTTCCTAGCACCCATATGGCAGCTAACAATCATGCAATCATCCTTGAATCCAGTTCCAGGGCATCTGACACCCTTTTCTGACCTCTGCAGGCATTGCACAACACAACATGGATGCATTTACATACATGCAGGCAAAATACTCATACACGTTTTTTTTAATTAGAAGTTTCTAAACTTTGCTATGCAAGCTCATCTGGGGAACCTTTTTTGTTTGAGACAAGGTCTCACTCTGTATCCCAGGCTGGCCTGGGACTTACTGTGTAGATCAGGCTGGCCTCAAACTCCCAGGGATTGGCCTTGCCTCTGCCTCTCAAGTGATGGGATTAAAAGCATGTGCCAACCATGCTTGGCTGGGGAACTTTCTGAGACAGGATCTCAGTATGTAGCCTAGGCTGACTTCCAACTCTCAGCCTGAGTACTGGGATCAGAGTTACACTCCCGTGCCCAGTTACATGGCAACTTCTTAGAACTCCCAGTGCTCTCGTTGGCGAGATGGTTCTGTGGTTAAGAGCACTGGCTGCTCTTGCAGAGGGCCCTGATTCACTTCTCAACACCCACATGGCAGCTAACCACTGTCTAATTTTAGTTCCAGGGAATCAGACGCCCTCTTCTGGCCTCCACAGGCATTGCGTGCGTGCATAGGTATGCTTACATAGGCAAAATACTCAAAAATAGATTTAAAAAATTAAATGGCATTGGTAGAAAGGACCTTGGGCTATTCCTTCAGCAGAGTTGCGAAACTACTAATTATCTTTTTAATTTTGTGTGTATGGGGTGGGGGCTGCCATTGCAGAGGACAACTTGCAGGAGTTGCTGCTTTCCTCCCACCATGTGGGTCTGGAAGTTCTGAACTCGGGTCGTCATCTTTACCTACTGAGCCATCTCACCAACCCCAAGATCGTTAATGTAAATGCTTATGTAGAGTGTTAGAGGCTGAGCCTAATAACTTCTTGGGATTCTACCAGCCAGAAACTTAACCAGGAATTTTACCTGGGGTTATAGAACTAAATTTGGGAGGCAGTGTTTTTGTTCATTTGGTTTTTGTTTTCTTACAGCTCTGGTTGGCCTTTTAATCCTGATCCTCCAGGACACAGAAGTTATTTTACTTGTTTAGTAACTAAGTTCTTAACACTTGCCAGGCCAAGTAGAATACATGAAGAATCTAAAGTTCAGGGGGTTCTTAATAAATCTTATTATTTTTATTATATTTAAAGTGGATTATGCTGGGCATGTTGGCACATGCCTTTAATCCCAGCACTCAGGAGGCTGAGGCTGAGGCAAGGCATCTCTCTGAATTTGAGGCCAGGGCTGGTCTACATAATGAATTCCAAGACAGCCAGGGCTACATAGTGAGACACTATGTCAAACAAAATAAAAGGTAGGCTAAAATAAGATCTCTACCCTCAGGAAGTCCACAGCCAAGTCTGGGTAAATCAAGGACTGCAGGGAGAATAGATGACCAAACTCCTAAGGCAGTGGGGGCAGGGAAGGGGTCGTCTGGGCCCCTCCTCACTTACCTGAAAAGCTCCTCTTTATCACGCTTGTAGAAACGCAGCAAGAGCATGTGGATAGGCAGTCCTACTAGGCGCCACCGGGCTTGCAGGGTCCAGTTCTCAGGGTGGCGGGTCAGCTGTAGAATCTCCAGCCGAAACTGTGCAAAATAGTTCCATGCCAGGAATCGGCAAAGGGTCAGTGACAGAATGTACCAAGTGCGGCCCCTGTGAAGAATGACAGGGGCAGGAATTCCAGAATGGGAGAATCAGAAAAACAAGGGATGGAAGCGAGAGGTGCAGCACAGAACCTCTGGGATGAGGCCCAAGCGCTCAGCACTGGGTCCTCTTCCTCCAAAGCCCCACCCTTGCCCCAGCTCTCACTTGGTACGCATGTTCAGGATCTCATTGATGAATTCCACATCCAAGGAATATAGAGTGTAGTCGTGCGAGTGGAAGAAGAGGTTGGGAAGCTGGGTGGAAGAAGAGGCATCAACTCAGCGGGCCAGAGGAGCCTACTGTAGGGTTACTTTATGCATATAGCATATTGGTATCAGAGGTGAAACTGGCCCCAAATGCTACGGCAATCTTAAATGTGAAGGTGCTCTCTAAAGTCTGTGCCTTTGTATACTTTTGAGACTGTGAATCCCAATCTGGCCTTCAACCTGCAATCCTATTCCCTGGGCCTCCTGAGTAACTGACAGCCCATGCCACCAGCTTGGTGTATTTCTGCCTTAAGGGTCTCTTTACTCCCCGCCCCAAGTACAAAGTCATTTCCTCCTGTTTAACCTTTATTAATCCAAACAGAGGGGCATCTTTTTTCTCAGGGAAATGTCTCATGGCACACTTGCATGCCTGCCTCCTGGTGCCATGCTCATCTGCTTTCCCCCTTGAGGGGAAGGTCCCTGTGAATTGACTCACCTCTTGTCTCAGCCTCTCATGCATGACAGCCAAGTGCTCCTCCATGCTCTGATCTCCCGATGGGCTGGCAGGGGAAGGATGGGCAGTTCCAGGGGCTTGGAAAGGAATCAGAGCCCCGGGATAGGGGCAAGGAGGTCCCTCAAAAAGGCTCCTAAGCCCATCTAGACAACCACTGTGCAACTCAGGTCCTGGTTCCTCCTCCCTCTTTCCTGGAGGAAGAACCACCCATAGGGTGTTGAGCACCTGGACCTGAGGGAGAGGTGGTGGAAGAGCCTTGGGAAAAGGGTGGGTGGGA